CGTGGCAGAGAGGCACAAGTGTTAATAATTGAAATACTCGCTCGCTGCCGAAAAGTTTCAAAGAAAAACTTGTAAAACAAATAGGCGGAAAAGTTACAACGGTGCGGCGGTGGCCAATTAATAATAAATCGCGACCAAAAGGGAGACTGAAAATCAACGTCTAGTAACTAATGATGCGCCTCATTTGAGCAGCCAAGGAAGCCAATGGGCCGGCAACCACGTGAAACAACAACAAATTACCGCCACAAAAGCGAAAAACTTGCTAGATAGCCATCGCAATTCCGATCCGGAAGGTGAACGCCGCCGCCAAAAGCTGAAAGCTGAAAGCTGAAAGCTGAAAGCCCAAAGGTGAAAGGTGAAAGGTAAACGGTTTCCCAAAAACTTGAGAAAAGGGTCGTTCGCGGGATTCCTGTGGACTTAGCGCTTGATTAAGCGTCAGGAACACGCCCTAACCATCCCCCCAATCCCCTCCACAAATTGTGGACTGCCGCGTCAGGTGATTGATAAGGTAAATTGGTGTTGGGATTGTATCCTGCATTTTCCGGGCCGCAAAAGTTTTGTTAGGCAATGCAAATTATGAGGGCAGGCGGGGCATTATATAAACTCTGCGATTTTTAATTAAAGGTAGAAATTATTTTGGATTCTTGAGAAGCTTTTATGCCTTTTTTATTGGGGTATACATAAAACCAATCGAGCGTTTAATAAATAATATAAAGTGATGGTTGCCAGGCCATTTTATTTCTTCCTTGAAATCACTTTATTAATTTGTTAGCAATATACCTAAGAAGTAATATTTTCTATCGTTTAAAAATTTTATATATTTCGTTACACACATTACATTTAAACTTAAGTTTATCAGCGTGCAAACTTAGTTTATTGCTGAGAATTCGCACGTTTATTTTGTTATTTAATATTTAATATTATATTATAATATTTCAATAGCTTTATAAAAATTCTATTTAAGAGTTAATCTTATATACATAAGCGTTTAGAAAAGCTTTAACACCACTTCAGAGTTTTTCCTTAACGTTCTTATCCAATTACTTTGCTTTTTTTCAAGCTATCTGTCTGTTTCTTTGGTTTTTGCCTTCATTTACAGAGCCAGTATACATGTGCCGTAAGAATAATAAAGTTCATTTCCACAAGGTTTGCATATCGCCGGGAAATATACGTATAATAACGCTTCCTGCCGCCTGCCTTGCGGCGTAATTAAATTTTCTAATTGAGTTACCACTGACTCGAAGCGCCGGGAATTTTTGACGCGACTCTCACAACAGAAACAGAATACGCAAAAGTAAGATTGCCTTTTGCAATTTGAAAGCTACATTTCGCCGCTTCAGTGCCGGCAATCTGGTTATATGCCTGTTTCTGTTCTGGACTTTTACATTTCGCTGACTTTCCTAATAAATTATTGTATGCCAGTCAAACTTTAGGCGCGTAAAACAAAAAAAAAGGAAGTAGGCAATGCTTTATGTTGCCTAAGCGTAAATTGTTTTTGCTCCTCTGATTTATACGCAATGCACGAAAAGTGGTCCAACTCATAATTTATGCTTGAGCAAAGGCACAACAGCGGCATTCAGAAGCCAGAACCCGCAGAAAGTCTCCCCGCCATGCATTTAGATAATTGGTGATTTTATTGACTAAGAAAATAATGTGACTGCCACGGCCGTTTTAAGTAATGACTCTGTGACTTTTACCAAGTTGAAATAAATTTAAAACAAATATACAAGGACCATAGCCGGCCTTCAGATACACAGAAGTATGATTTGTGTTTGAGATAAACCCGTTTCTATAGCTTTTTACTTCAGAATCATTGCCGGAGCTTAAAAGACACTAAAGCTGGGCTCGTTAGTTTCTCGTTGGCCAAGCTGTCACGCATAATTAGAGCATCAAGTCTGCTAAAATGAATAAATTTATGTCATGCCTCATGCACTCAGCCCCTGAATCCCATTTGTGTGTTCGTCTCCCGAGTGGTATTCATGGCAAGACGCACAGTATTCACGTTTGAAGGTGCTTGAAAGTATACTACATATATGTATGTACTTAATTGCATGTAGGTACTCCGCCCAAACCACTAAAGAAGATTGTTAGCATGACTAAAGGTATGGTACATATGTACTTTTAAAGCATATATTAAGGAACCCGCTTTTATTTAAGCTTGAATGAAGCATTCTGAGCTCTATAACCAATTAATGCCTCCCGCAGCCGAGCCATGATTTATAGTTATTAGAATTTGGTAACACACTCTATTAGGCATTGAATTTGCACCAACTAATAGACGGGGCAACGATGATTAAAAGACTTAATTCACCGCTAAAGGCTGTGTTGCGCCCTCAACGCCATGGTTACTTTATTGAGTGTTTATTGAAATTTATGGCTCGCTTGGCTTCTCAGATATAACCAAGTTGAGTACTTTATGTGCTCGGCAATATGTTGGATTTATGGCTAAGCTTAATGGCTAATGTTAGCACTGCACTTGGCTTAAATGGGGTTGAGCGCAGGAGGAGCTTGGCGGTAGTTCAGTTTGGGTACAAATCAGCTCAACAAGCTGTTTCGCTTTGCAGTAATAGATTTACTTCTTAATGCTAAATGCTTGTATCGAAATACCAGACAAGAGATCCTGATTTTCATTTGACATAATTAAATATGTGATGATGCAAATTAAAATGAATTTTAATTATGCATTTATTTCACCATACGCCAAATTGATTGTATTAAAACTTAATTGAATTAAAGCCCACAAAGGCGCAATATAAATATGTATGTTTTTTGTTTACTGCGCTTACTGTATATATTTTATTGATTAAATCTGTGAAGCTGCTATAATTCAGCAAGGGTATGCTAAGTCCAGCCGGCTTACGCCTCTGCTGTTGACATTAATTGCCTATTAATTTGCAGCAACATTCCCGGAATTCTATAATTCAATAAAACCGAATGCTCTCAGATGCGAAACGTCAAGTGGGAAGCTGCGAAAAAGCATGCAAGTTTGAATTTGTTGAACTGAAAATCCAGGGGCAAAAGCCGATGATAGCATGCTACTAAATCAATAAAATGGTCAAGCAGTTGGCGCATAAGTCGAAAACATAAACACATAAAATGCTGGCCCATAAAAAGGAGCTTCCATTTCATTTGTAAACAAAGGCATTCCGAATTACCCAGCTGAGAAGTGGTCGCTTGGCTCTAACCCCTGGCTCTTTTGTGTCAGCCATCATCCCGGGCTTTTATTTCGTTCTACTGCCTGCCGTTTCTTTTTTTGTAAAATTGGGATAAAAAAGACTTCCTTTTGGTCCAATCCCACGCAGCTGGACACAGATAATGTCCGTGAGTCGGCGTGATGGACGGCTGTTTAACTGCAAAATCAATTTATGGCTGCTAGGCCCGCATTTTGTTATGTAACTAAATTATAGATTCATGACTTTCCATTTTTAAAGCCACCCCTAATGCTATGATAATATAACTTGGAACAGTCCAGCCAATCTATAATAGGGGCGAAATAACTAAAAAATCAACAATGTGGAAAACGGCAGAAAATATCCGAATTCGAAGAGTAAAAGTGGACAACGGCAGCCACTATTTAATTTTATTTACGCTTCATTTAAAGCTCCTTTTCACATTCAGCATTCAGCAGGTCCTGGCAGGAGTGCCTTGGCCCCGTGGGCCGCTTTTGCTTTTTCGGCCTCATTTTTGTTATTTTTTTGTTGTCAAGACAATTTGCAAGATACACACACAGGATACAGGACACAGGACACAGGAGTCGTGTAACATAAGACGACTCCCGCACTCCCCTCTTACATACACAACAAATAAAATATTAATGCGGTAGATCAAAGCGGGGCATACCGTTAAACAGGCGAATTATTCCGCGCAGAAGGAAAAGTTTTATTTTGTTTTCTGTTTGTTGGTCCAAAAGTCAATTTATGGTTTTCCACCCGCATAATTTCATTTTATTTGGCCGTTCGCTCGCTGTATGTTGCTTTTTTCCCCATTTTGTGTTTGCTCCATATGAGTGAATTATGTGAAACGCCTGTGTTTGTTAACGTTTTGTTTCAGCGGTTGTAAATTTTGTTTTGTTAAAGCATTTTCCGCCATTAAAAATATTTTTATATATTTTTTTTTGGGCTCCAAAAGCTGACATCAAATTTTAAAAAGCCACCAATGCAAAGTGAGTATAAAAAGCTGCACAAAATGCCGCACAAAAACGCCCGACGACTCGATTATAATAAATAAATCGGAACTTGTTATGAACAGGTTAAGTTTATTATGAACAAAATAACGTGAAGCCTTTTCCCCATTGTTGGAACTTCAAAAAAGCTGTCCGCATTTTTGTGATTTTTTTTTTTTTTTAAGAGGCATTAAAAGTATTAACCCCCTTTGGCGTATTTTTAGAAAATGCCCAACATGGGCTAGGAAAATAAAACATATTTTTATATCGGTGTTTAGGGGATGAGGTAAACTGCTGACAGCGCTGACCAAAACTGCATCGCTAAAGCCATTTATCAAAACTAATAGCCGACTAGATAAAGAGTGAAAAAGTGGAAAGCGATAGGACGAAAGTAAAGCCATTAAAATGCAACAAGAAATAAAGGCTACGACAAAAATAAGGCACAAAGTAAGCGTCTGAGACCATAATTCAACCAATAGTTGGCTAGAAGAAAAAAATTATAGAGGTTGATTGTTAAGATTTCAAAACTGAAATTTATATAGGATTTAGTTTAAAATTAGGCAATTTTCACTTACAAATCGAATAAAATTCAAATGAATAGTCGCAAATAATAAATGAAAAGCAAAACAAAATGAAATACAATTTATGGTCTTTATCAGATATTTACGAAATGTGTTTCATATAACACGTTTTCATTTGAATTCAATTAATTCAACAAAATGATTTACATATTTATATTACGAATATCCCATTAAATAAATAAATATAAAACTGAGGCCCCAAGTAAGCTTAGATTTCGCTGCATATTGATTCTACCTTAACTTTATCCAGTCTCAAATGGACCCTTTTGATATGAGTGCAGAACACCCAGAACCCAGGCGACAACAGCCGTACTTGAACTTGAGCGAAGACAGCTTCTGGGTGAACATTTGGGAATTCATCCGTATCCTGGGCAATGCCATTTGGAAACGCTTTTCGCTGAAGGTAAGCGAATCCCTGAAAAATCTCTGTTGCTTTTTTCTGTTGGAGATGAAACGGTTGCCTGTGGATGTCGATGAGGATTGCCTGGCTAGGATTAGCCAAACGCGGGACTGGAAAACGGCGGCCTTCCGCTATATAGACTGTCATCCGAGCAGTCCTAGCCTGTTGATGGCACTGGTGACCAGGGAGGACACTGTGCTGCTCTACGACGAGAGCTTCAAGAAGAGGTCCTGCCTTAGGGACTTGGAGCAGAAGCACATCACCTGTGTCGCCTTCCGTCCGTGGTCTCAGGAGTTGGCCGTGGGCTGCTCGGCGGGGATTTTCCTTTGGAAGAGCAACTGGCGATCCCAAGTGCACCGTCAGATCCGTCACATGCAGGGCACCCATCACATGCGAATGCTGGAAGACGAGGGCCACACCTGCGTGACCTCGGTGCAGTGGAACGAGGACGGTACCATACTGGCAAGCGCCGCCCTGGGCTCCACCCACATCATTCTCTGGGAGCCGGACTACCAGCAGAAGATGCGCTTGATCCTAGACCCTGGAAACCAAAGCTCCTTCTCCCTGCTGCGCTTTAGTGCTGACTTCAAAGAGATTCTCTGTGCCAGCTTGAATGGTGGTGCCAGCATCTGCGAGCTGGACAGGTGCACCTGGAGGGTTCGGGACAAGGTCCAGATAGAGAGCCGCATCCAGACAGCTGTCTGGACCACTTGCAGCTCCCATCTGCTGTTCGTAAAGGAAGGCAGTACCCGGCTATACTCGAGAACCAGAAATCAGGAGGCGCTGCTGTTGAAGCGCCCCAAGCCTTCGTGGCGCATCGAGATGGTTGCCAATCTGCAGGATGCAAGCTGTTCGGGAGAGTGGAGACACTGCGGCAAACCACTGGCCATTGCCATGGACCCCCTGGGCATCTACTTGGCGGTCATCTTCAAGCACCAATCCTTTGTGCTGCTCTGTCTTCTAGCACCCGCCAGGGATGGTCCTCCGAGACCTATTCCCATCAAATTCATTGCGTGCGACGGGGATGACGCAACAGAGGACGAGGTGCATCCCACCTGCATGGCATGGCATGCAGTTGTACAGAGCAACATTTTTGAAAAAATACGACTCTTGGTGATCTGCTGGAGTACAAAGCATATTCAGAGCTACGCCGTCACTTCCAAAAGCTTCGAAGAGGCCCAAAGGCCTCAATGCAAAAACTACGTGAATTTTGGGTAAGATTTAAAGGGCTCATGAACATGGGACACCTAATTACTGAATGTTGATGCACGAAAATATGGAGGCATCTGTTGATAATATATGAAATAAAGGTCATAAATTATCAACAAGCGATGCTAATGTGTTTTCCATGAGACTTTACGCTGCTGCCAGATGTTTCTTGAAGAAAGAAAATGGTAACTTAGAGCCACACGTGACGGACCTTAAACTTAACTCCTATAATAGGTTTCCTTGTTACTTATAGCAGCTAACGAAATACATATTTAACATTTAAATTTATGCAAATAGAACCAAAGTCAATCACTTTTATACCAAAGCAATCTATATGTCCCTTGATGCTTAAAGTATATTTTCTCTAGGACTTGATATAATATAATTTCCTTCCTCATTTTCCACTCCACGATTGCCGCTATTAAAAACTCATCCTGGCGTGTATGAATATTCAATGGAGGCGCTTATGCAAATGGAAAATAACTCAAGTGTGCGAGCAACCAGTTTTCGCATTTTACCAACTGCCACCCAACAACTGAAGAGCCCCTGATTGTCGCTTATTCTGCAGGTACATACATACTCCACTTCCTCCCACCTGCCACTGTCACGGAGTAAGCTTAAAGCCAATAAATCTTCACATTCCACTTCTGATTGCGGACCGAAAAATTGGTTTTACACAGAGCTTTCCTTTTTTATAATTGATATTTTTGTGGCGAATAAAAGATTGATATGAAGGTTACAGAGTGAGGAAATATTTATGTTTTATATTTTTCCCAATTGTTGATTTTATTGACCCTAATCATAAGATTATAATGTATTTATTCAGTCGGTATCTGTCAATGGGAACCCCCGTTTTTGGGGATTTTCCTTCCCTTTATTTTTTGTGGTTAAAATGCGCTTTAACGACTCCCTCGTTGGCGGCAAATGCCGAGGCACGTGCTAAAAAGGGCAGAGTAAAAATAAATTTATGCAGTCTAACGACCTATTCTCCATGGATATTGACAATTCAAAGTTAATCTAAGGACCTAATGGAAATTGATTTCACGCTGTTTTTCACCATTTGGCAAGAAAATTCCCATGTGGGTGCAGTTATTTTTAAAATGCAAAAATAAATAAGGTAATTAAACATTTGTCTCGTCTAGTTTACTGCAAAAAGTATTTCATTCGATGTAAACATTGTGCAAAGAATTTAATCATCAAAAAGCTTAATCGTTTAAATACACTTTTTACAAAAATGCAAATATTAAACAATAAGAGAAAGAGGGAGAGACGTTTACTCACTTCAGCATTTCAATATTGACCAACTAACAATGGAAGATTAGTAAGTATAAGCCAAAAAGGAGACCAAAACGGAAACTGTGTGGAATGATTGTAAAGCAGGACTGGCTTCAAACCAACATTGACTTGGGTCTGCAACTTTTTGTAGGTAAACATCTTAGAACTGAGAAAGCCTCAAGAGCCATAAAGGAAGTACTGAGGACACTGGGATTTTGGGAATGCTGACCAGGGCGGAAAAAGCGCAAAAAAAAATGAATGCAAATAGGTTTCAACAATGGCCCAGGAATGGGCAACAATCATGAATCACTTTACCAAGACGACAAAGGCAATATCTCGCCATTGTTTGTTTGGGTAGAAATACCAAAACTAATTGAATTATCGCTCTTTTTTTAGGAGTCTAGTGATAAAGTAAGGAATCAAGGGAGAAAGATTTCCTGCATATACAAAAAAAAGGAAAGTTTTAAAATAAGTAAAGTTGAAGCTCAGACAAATAAACGTCATGAATTTTTATTGCAAACAAAAACACACAAGAGTCTTCGATAATACTCGCACTCGTAAGAGTAAAAAGTCCACAGATCGAAACATTAAGGTTTAATGTTGGGAGCCCAAATGTGTTGCCATAAAAATCATTTAAATGTTTGTTTGCTTTTCCGAGATCTCAGCCTGAACATGTGATAAGGCTTTCAGGGGTACTTGTATTCATAATCTGCAAAAAACATTGTCTTAAACAAAGACTTTTTACTGCAGAGACAAGCGAAAACGAGAAATGTCTCTCAAAACAAGGTGCGAAAAAGTAAAAAATAAATAAAAATATAAACAAAAGAACATTTTTGCATACTTTAATTTAATATAAATCTCTAGCCACTGGTATTTGATTTTTAATCCACCTTCTGGAAAATTTGACTTGCATAACATAATATAATATTTTTTATGCAACCAAAGAAGGCTTGAAAATAAAAAAGAAATGCCTCAAAATAAATTTGATCACTGGTTCTTTTTTTTGTACAAAAACACTTGCCCCATTCCACAGATTCAGTGAATTCCATCAACTTGTGTTCCTCCCAGAAACCCCGCACAATCAGCCAAAGCCGTATTTATTGTTTTACCATATTTTGCGCCAGCATCAAAAATACAATTTAATGCAATGAATACGAGTCCCCGAAACGGCAGACTTGGCAATAATTTTACGCAGATGTGGGGAGAAGGCATTGATGATATGCTGACAATGTGAACGTTGATTTTTTGTGTCAGTTTTCCTAGGAAAACTGTAATAACGGAGGACCTGGGACCCACCGCAGGGACGTGGATGTGGATGTGGGTGCGGGGGAAATGCGATGTACACGCCAGACATACCAAATAACTTCACTTACTTTTATGCCCAAGTGTGTGTCCTTTTGGGGGGAACCGAGGGTCGTCGAATTATAGGCCCACCCTTGAGATCTGGATTTGGATCTGGATGTGGATACGGGATGCGGGATACGGATGTGTGTCAAATGGCGTAAACGCAGAGCAATCAGCAATGAGGCATCAATAATTCTTAACGCGTTTGCGGCACTCTCGGCGTTTGGAGCTGTTAGGAATTCGCTCTGTTTTCAGCAAACGATCAGAGAGGCTGGCGGAAAAACGGGACTTGGCCCATTAAAACTAAAGTTTTCCCTCAATTTTCTACGTTTAACTTTTCCCATGACCCAGGCGAGGCCTGCGGTTTTTTGATTTATGGTGCCACTGGCGGCAGGCAACGCCACCGCCACCGCCACCAAATATACCCAATATTTAGGCCCGCCGTCTTCGGGCCAGTGTTCAGTGTTTTGTTTCGTAATCACGTTTTTATCTTTTACTAAACAACTCATGTATACGACCCCGCAAATTTCTGCGAAAGCCTCACGTCGAGATTATTTAAAAATAAGAAAAACAACGGCTGGGCATAAAAAATCGCGGCACATGGCGACGGCGGCAGGACGAGAAGAAAAACTTGTTTACTGCCCAAGTATCCAACGTATCCTGCTTTGGAAACCGATAATTGACAGCCAAAAGATTTTCAACTTGCCAAGCGGAGGAGGAAGCATGAAATTATGGAAACAAAAAAGCGAAGTGCCTGCGAGGGAAGTGTGAGCTGTACAAGTAAAGTTCCATAGATTATCACGGACCCCCCGCCGAAAATCTCCCCAGGAGAGAAGGCATCCTCAAGTGGAAATATAACCGTAGTTTTCAAGTTGTTTCTAAGTGATGTCATAAGCAGTCTAACAGCTTTGTCTGTCCCATCATATTTGTGCATAGTTTTGGCCAACTTTTCTCAACAAGTTTTGAAAATGAGCAACGCAATTAGGTTCGGATATTCGTTTTCAGTTTTTGGCAATATTTGGCAAGGACTTTGTCACTCTCTATTCAGTTTTTGGGAGTCATTCCTGCGTTAACAACTGATAAATACCGAACATCATATCATGCGCCCGCAAATTCAGGCAACCAAAATTCATTTCGTTTTGAAAAACAAACAAAATAAATTTCAACTCTGGCCGATAAACAAACTAGCGCATGTTTTATTTTTTGGTTTAATTAAAATTTATGCATGTTGAATGCGACATCATAGATTACAATTGTTTTGGGACCGAACACAGACACACAAAGCCCCGGCTATATATTGTGAAATTTTGCTCAAAAATCAATGTGTAAACTATACCCTGTTTGCTTTTTCGGTATCCTTTCGGAGGACCGACTGCAAAAAGTCAACAGAAAACGAGGAGGAGGCGAGCAGCCAAAATAAATTTTCAGCCGCAAATCCTTGACAAATCTGCTGCATTGGCTTTGGCGGCCGTCCTTTTGAGATAAATCTTTATTGCCTCATTTCGCTTAAAGTCGATTCTATTTTTATACCCTGCCTAGGGGTGTGTCTAAATTTTATTCAAAACTTTAGCTTTGAATGGAATATGGGACTTGTGAAACTCTTTGGCAACATATCTGCAAAAAATGTGAGTGAAGAGTTGCGTGCTTAGAAGTGTATTTAAGAGTTAACTGCGCCCAAGAAAGTTTTATTTAATATACTTACAGGTATTTATATTTTTTCCTGTTTTCTGAGCCTCATCCTCGCTTTTTTGAGACCAAACTAACTGGCTTTGTGGCAGCGTCTTCGCAGTGCGGTTAAAAAAAAAACAATGGCCGGGAGATAACATGACTGAGGAAAAGCCCGCATTGAAAACGGAGAGTCAACAATAGCAACACGAGGACGACTAGGACTACGACTACGTCAGAGCAAAACTTTTACAGAAATAGAAGCGAAATAAAAACCTTAAGTATTTCAAACAACCAAGGGAAGCGGAAAAGATGATATGTAAACTGGTAAACTTCTTCCGAGTCCGCTGAAACCCTTGACTTGAGTCAACAGTCCCATTTTTTGTTCTATTTAAAAGTCTATTTTAGTAGGATCATTTTTTTGTTTATACAATGCCAGAGGAGGACTTTCTTAAAAAGTACATCGGCATGAAAAGACGCCGAAATATTTGCTACTTACATTACGTATACGCCATGTGGAGCTCCCGTTGCGCGGCAAAGTTGCGTGGCCAAGCGGCACCTTGAGTATAATTTAAATACAACCGGATGGAAATTATGAAGTCCCGGTTACTGCGCCAACACAGTCACTCTGACAGAATTCCCAAACTTTATGTTTACTTTTCCGCAGCTGATGCTTTTCCCGCCGCCATTCCGTGTTGGCTGGCTTTTCATACGCACTGTTTTTTTATATGAATTTAATTTTCATGCCCTTGTTGTTGCTGAACTTTGCATAGACACTTCCGTATTATTCTTTGTCCGACGCGAAATTAATTTAATTACTTTTATCTTGAATATTTAACATTCATTTCCAGGGCACATTTACTGCGTTGATGCGCATTAATTGTCTGCTAATCATCTGCAAAAAAAAAAACACACAAGTGCAAAGCTGTCACAAACTGCGAAACGAAATTAAATTAAGGCTTCTTTTATATTTAAGTGAAAAAAATCAGTGTCACTTCCAAATGTGCTTATATTATAGTTAATGTAAATGTATTGGCATGACAGGAGCTTAAATTGAAGTAAGACTGATTCGAATACGATTGGGAAATTGAATTTTCAGTTGATTCAGTTTGCATGGAACTATATTCAATGGAGTGCAATCAAAGTCTCAGAATGTAGCGAAAGCAATGATTGAATTCAATGGCAATTGATAAGGCTATCGAGAGGGACATGTGTACGAAGTGTTTGTACATTTGTGCAGTCTTCGAGGATTATGTGCGAAACATGGGTTGGAATTTAATAATAAATCGATTATAATTCATACAAATATGTACAACAAAAATTAAATTCAAAGGATTATACAAAATTATAAAGTTTAATGCTCTGTGAGCAATATTTAAATTCTAGCTAATTATATATTTTTTATATTGCTATATTTAATACACAAACCCTGTTGACTTCTTCAATTATCTGTTATTTCTAATTACTTTACAAAATATTTTATTTATTTATATTCAGATATTAAAATTAAGGAAATTTATTTACAACTTTTTTCAAGATTTTCAACTGGCGTCTACTATGTATTAGAATCCTACATATGGCTTAGGCCCCACAGCGAAATTGCAATATAAACTAACGAATTGTACCAAAAATTTTTCTTTTATTTTGAAAACTGTCTGAAAAATATGCTCGTATATATTTTCAATGGTAAACCGATGTATTGCTGCGCCTGACAGCCCGCAATAAAAAGGGCGGGCACGTCCACAAACATACAGCGGCATAAAAATGGCGAAGCCGTGGGATCCGGACGGAGATCCCAGCACTGTTCCACGGAGAGTAGGCCAGAGAGCCGGGCAAACCGCTGATGTACAAACAATAAAGTTCAAGGGTATTACAAACAGGCGTTCGCCGCACACTCGCATGTGCTTAAATATGAGTGATAGGCGGTAGTAGGGCTTGTGTTGCATATGCCCTGCGGTGGCTCAAGGCCCGAGGAGCAAGGACCAAGGACACGGTTGCCCCGGTGGGTCAAGTCGAGCCAATGTTGACTTTGGGGGGGCCAGTTAATGGAGCTCTGGTGGCGAGAGAGAGCCTACTGTTTGCCGCCAACCTGTTTAGCGAATTTTAATTATGCTAATGCGAGGCGAGAGCAACACTTTCCACTGTGTGTGTGTGTGTGCACACACAAAGCGCAGGTGTATTCATCTGAAAGGTGAAACACCGCTTCTTTGTGCTTGTTTGTCTATTCCACCGCTTTTCACCTGCTCCCTTAACCCTACTCTCGTCATTCGTTGGTATTCCTATTACATTAATTTTCCACCTGAGAGGCAGAGGGAAAAAGAGCAAGTGGGGAAACTATAGTGATTACTGATTATCTTCTGACGTTAAAGCTCATTAATTGAAGGAGACGCATCTCTAATTAGCATGGAATTAGGCAGACTAAAAGTAGCTTAAACATGATGTGCCTTAATAGATTCGAATCAAGTTTACAGTAAATAAGTACCTCTAATCGGGGCTTACTAATGGTAAATTAACAAATAAAAAAATCCTATATTTAACTGAATGTATAAAAGCCAATTGAAATAAAACTAAACCAACAAAGGATATTCCTTTTGTGTTATAAAAATGGTAAACTTTTTATGTGGCAAGTCAATAAAATATTCGATTTCTAAACGCTTGCTATCCAAATAGAGACGAGGGCTTTTAACCAATCATTTTTCCATCAAAAAACAATAAATATACATTTTTTGGCTGACCGATGACGGGGCTTATCTGTCCGTGAAAGCCACTAATCAAAGGGCAGTCGTAATTAAACTAACGAACCAGCAACTAAAATAAAAAAACACTTTACAATTGAAATGTGGGAATGCGGCTTTGTGGCAAAACAAAAATAATTCCTGAATGCGGCGTTAAAGCATTACGCTTGGGTTAGGTCAGAGCCGGAAATTCGTAGAGTTGCATGGACATAAGTCGAACACTTCCGGAACTGAACTCACAGTTTGCTTAATTATAGGCCAGTCCAAAAATTAGTTGCATATTTAATTTCACTCGCGAACACTCCCAAAAACCAAACTATTTTTTTGTTAATTGAAATACGCGCAATATCACGTATCCGCTGGTAAATCACCGACGAATTTCAAATGTGGCGACCGCGACAACGACATCCGCGAAGAGAACCGCACGCAGAGCCGGACACGAAAGTACTGAACGCAGCGTCCAAAGGACGACAGCGCCGGGCGTGCGAAAGCGCAACAGCATCTGGAACCCGGAATCTGGTGACAGGGTTGTTACTGCCACACGAACGGCCACGAGAAGGCCCGACTTGTGCCGAGTATCCTTCGGCCGGATGCTGTTTGCGCTCTCAGTTCTGCAGATTCAGCAGGACTCAGCAACGGTTTACTCGTTCAGTAGGTCAGAAACCCACCTGCGTTCCACAAATACAGGCTAGTTCAGGATATTAGGAGATTCTTTGTTAAAATTGAGGCCAGAGAAAGAGCGTATTAGAGATTACTTAAGATATTGCATAATTTGTGAAGGCTATAAATAACAATTTTTAGAAACCAAATAAAAGGTGCTTCTGAAATCTTTTAGGGTTAAAACAGCCCTTCAATAATACCTTTAAAAACTCTTTTAAACTAAATATAAATAGAGTAGTAGAACAAATGAAGAAAATATTTAAAAATATTTAAAAATATTAAAAAAAAACTATTTGTTCAAATCAATTTATAGATTGCAGTTTCAGTTTAAAGGTGGTTAATAATAATTTAGCTTCAACAATCTTCTCAATAAATAAATCCTAACATATTACATCAGCTCTTACTACACCCACTTAAAAGATATTATGTTAGCAACCTTGATCTTAACAGGACATATCTACAATGTCAGCAGGCCTTCAATAGAAATCAGCAGTTTTGGTAATTTAATTAGCCTTTTTTCCATTTTATTTGAACTGTTTTATGGGATAAACCATCCATGGCAACTGAAAAATACTATAACTCTCTCTTACATGCCGGCATGTAGCAAGTTCTAAAGGAAAATCTCTTCAAAATGCACTCAATTGTGAAATCCCAATGGATAAATATAATAAATACAATATGATATGATTAGTCGACATGACTTTGTGTAACAGGGAGGGGTTATGATGTGAGTGTGGCAAACAAAAAAAAGTGACTGGGTAAACAGTTACAAAACATCCTGGCCAAGCCCAGCCATGCCCGGCTGGCTGACTGCGTAAGACATTTACGAGCGTTTGAATTTGACAGATTTCTTTTATTAGAGCGACAGACAGCGTCAAAGAAACTGGCGAAGCGCTCATGCGTGCCAAATCCAAGTGTAGTCCATACTATATAGCCAGGACCCGGGATAGGGGGTTCCAGGAAGATTTAATAAAAACAACCACAACTTTGGTCCAAAGAGCCGAAGGCGATTGAAAATTCGTATGAAGACGTCATAAAATATATATATCCGTTATGCAGTTCAGCGCATTTATGGCAAGAAAAGCTGGAATAAAAAGATACAGTCCCCTCTCTTGGTATATATGTATATATATAGAGTACAATTAATACCATATGGCTCTTACAGTAGTTTTTTCCTTTTGACTCTTTGACTCACTCCTTTACTTCCTCTTCGTTGAGGGTTTACTCACATACACTTTCAAGCACGCACAACTTAATTAGACAGCCAAAAAAGCATTAACCTCGTCGAGGTTGGGAGCTGCATACATAACAAAGTCGGGTTACTGACTTCCCGGAATTTATCCAGATAAAAGGGGAAAAGTTGGCAGCTAATTCAGACAATTAAATCAAACAAATCAAAGAGCTTCGCTAAAACAGAGATTTGCTTTGCCCTGAACTATATATATTCTTGCCACTTTATTTAATTCTTTAAGTGAGCCAAAAAAGCAATTTTCATCGACTTTTCACCAAAGTATATGCAGTAAATATGCGAATGCCTTAAAGGGTTCCAATTAGCCATCGATCCGGCACTCAACACCCCAGAAATCAAAGCGAAAAAAATGGCGGAAAAATCCTTCCCCCTCCGAACAGCTACTTAACAATGCACGCTCCTTATCGTCAATTAAGTTTAATTGCCCCAGCGAACCACTCGAAATATGCATACAAAGTGAACAGAGGAAATACTCTGCCTGTTTTCCGCTTCTCCGCTGGCCAACATTAGCACACAGTCCCTATGCCTAGGCCCCATTTAACAATCAATTTATTTCGCAATATTTTCGGTTTTGTGCTCCATCGATCCTTATCCTTCACCTCCCTCGTCCTGTGCCTGCCCTGCCACATCGGATGGCAAGTTTTGCAAGTGCTATTTTCTTCAATACTCACTGAATGAATATTCATTCAAATTTCGAGTGCGCTGAGGTAGGCATCGCCTGTCCGAAATCGAAGCCATTCAAACCCCTAATTGGCTTGACCTCGTTGACTAAGTTGCAACTTGCAACTACAAAAATTGAACAAAATAGTAGTAACTTTGCTAACAAATTCTGGTTACTTGAAGTCGAAGAAAAAAGGGATTTAATGTAGTGTTTGTATATAAAATATAAATACAAATTGTAAAGCTTCAGCTCAGATGTTTATTGTTAAAGTTAGCTTTCTATAAAGAAACTAAGCGAGACTAGAAATAAATACTGGGTGATATAAATTATAGAAATATAAGCTTCTCAAAATATTTTGTATAAAAATTCAGCAGTTATAGTTACTTTCTTTAAAAAATACCCTGGACATATACAAAATAAATACATATTAAAATAAAAGCTTTGAGATACATTTACAACTAGATTTAAGTACAAAATTCAGACGACATTTTTAGAGTCACAACTAGCTTGGTTTTTATCCGAAAAGTAACTTTGGTATGTGTTGAAATAAATACAAAATATTTATAATATTAAAAGCTGTTTAAGATCGTATATTAAGAGTATCTACGAACTGAGAATCTACCACTTGCTGGCCCCCTTCTCCAGAAGGCTGTGGAAAATGGATTCCGGCAGCTGTTGGAGCATCCTTGGATTGCCGTCCTCGACAATGCGTCCCTGGTCAAGCACAATTAGCCGGTCATAATCCAGAATTGTTGTCAGGCGATGCTGTGAATGAGTATATATATAAAAAGTAATTGCTGCATTCCAACTGGAATTAACTGCAAACTCACGGCAATGGTTATGATGGTGCGACCCTGGAAGGCCTGGTCCGCCGCCTTGAGCAGTGCATTCTCTGTGCTGCTGTCCAGAGCACTTGTTGCTTCGTCCAGGACAAGGCACACGGAACCCCGTAGAATGGCACGTGCCAGACAGAGTAACTGCCGATGGCCAGCACTCAGGTTGACGCCCCCATCGCAAATCACGGTGTCTAAGGAATAAATAGTGTAAGAATTTATATATTTATTTATTTCTAGTTAATCTAGTTATTAGAAAAAAGGCTAAAGAACTAGAGACTTTAAATATATACAGGATAACTGGAAGTATTTAAGGGTAGGCAAGGAATTTTGAATTCTTATGTAATCCTAGTTGTTAGGCTAACAAAACTAGTTACAATGTGTTTATTAAAGTTATTTAAAATATATAAACTAAGAACATAACCATTACAAAGCATCAATAAAGGCTAAACAATTAATTTATTCAACGAATAATAAGCGATCTTTAACTGAATATTTAGAATAGTAACAAAATATAAATAATAAATAATTCCATTGAATAATATGAAAGCATAATAATATTAAATGATGTTTAATTAAGATCTTGTTCAATTAACTTAACAATCTGACAGACAATTGACAGAGCTTATTAAAACTGATTGACATGAACATAAATATTTAAATGAAATCAGAAATTGAGTTATCAATCAACTTCCAACGCAAAATCTATAGCATCGTAAACTCCAAAAGTACACAAAAATATAGTTGGGATTCAATCAAACGAATAACACCAAAAAAGCATCAGCTTCCGCAGCAAACGTCACAAAACCGTCGCCTTCTGCCTTGCCAGCTTCTCAATAAAATGGAATAAAATATCATGACTTTTTCATAAGGCAAATGCTGATCCCAAGGACAGCAAAAGCCACTCGGAGTGGCTGTGTTTATTCGAAACGTCAGCAGGAAATAAATAGAAGGAAAGCCAAAATCACACTTACCCAGACCGAGCGGCAGGTGCACGTTGACGAACTCCTTCAGCTGGGCCAGCTCAAGGCAGTTCCACAGACGCAGGTCCTGGTAGTAACCGCGTGGATCAAGATTTTCACGTATGGTTGCATTGAACAAATGCACGTCCTGGGGAATTATAGACAATCTCGTTCGCAGCTCGTCTGGCCGGATGCGTTCGATGTCCACGTCATCGATGTAGATGTGGCCTTTGGTCGTTTGTAAAACACCAAAAAGAGCCAGGCCCAGGGATGATTTGCCACTGCCCGTTCGACCACAGATGCCAATCTGTAAACCGAATTCCATAGGGATTGAATAGTAACAGTTTAAGGGGTTTTTGATATGCCACAAGCGCTGGAATGGCCAATGTAAACTTTAATTAAGCCCTGACATTATTTTAGGTATTTTTGTTTTTTAACCTGCACTGGGAGCAGGTGGAGTCATTTTTATATTATTAGTCGCCACACATATGCACAGTTTTTTCTATAATCAATCACAATGTCTGCATATTCGTCAACTGAGAACAATTAAAACCTATTAAGCGCTTTATCGGGGTTTAAGAGGGCCAACTGAACTGCAATTTCGATTTGTCCTGATTTTTTGATTTATTGTCAAACGGATTTTTTCAATTTTATTGTTCAAGATAAATTGACAATCTCTATCTCGTTGTTTTTTTATATTTTTATTCCATTCACAGTTTAATTTTAAGCCCCAATCAATAATGCTGGCATCTGCCATAAAATATTATGGCGGTAGTTAAAGGCAAAGTGCACAATTAGTAACAGTCTGCTGAGTCGAAAATTCGTTGATGTGATTTCCTTACTTTCTCTCTTTCAATCAGAATATATATATACATTTTTTTCTACTTACCCTTTGTCCTGCGGGAATCTTTAATGTTAAGTCGCTGA